GCTAGCTAGCTAGCTAGCTACGTGTGAGGAGCTAGTGTTGCGGTGCATGCAGCGGCTGGAGCGTCTGAAGAGAGAACACGCAATAAACGAAAGAGTGAAAAGACAGCTGGAGCAGCAGCAGCAGCAGCTGCAGCAGGAGCGGCAGCAGCGCATGCAATTGGAAGCAAAGTGTGGGGCCCTAGAACTCGCGCTAGAAGACAGAAACAAACAAATACAAAATATCAGACTGCAGCAACAAAGTGCACATGAGGTGCTTTGTCCTCCTGCTGCTGCTGCTGCTGCTGCTGCTGCTGCTGCTGCTGCTGCTGGTGTTGCTGCTGCTGCTGTTGCTGCTGCTGCTGATGTTGCTGATGCTGCTGCTGCTGCTGCTGATGATGATTATGGTGCTGCTGATGATGATGATGATGATGGTGCTGCTGCTGGTGCTAGTGGCGCTGCTGATGCTGCTGCTGCTGCTGCGGTTGCTTGTGACGCTAGTGCTGCTGCTGATGATGCTGCTGTTGCTGCTGCTGCTGCTGCCGTTGCTGCTGCTGCTGCTGCTGCTGCCTGCACTATGATGCTGAGTTCGTTGTTGTCTTTTATTTTTTTTGTTTTATTATTAATTTGTTTTTTCTTTTTTTCTTTTCTTTTGATTGTCTCCCTTTGTCTCCTTATGTGTCTCCTTTTTGTCTCCTCTTTCTGTCTCTTCTTTTTGTCTCTTCTTTCTGTCTCCTTTTTCTCTTTCTTTTGTCTTTTCTCTTTTTGTCTATTTTTTCTGTCTCCTTGCTCTCCCTCTCTTTTGTTTTTTCTCTTTTTGTCTCTTCTTTCTGTCTCCTTTTTGTCTCTTTTTTCTGTCTCCTTTTTGCCTCTTTTTTTGTCTCCTTTTTGTCTTTTTTATGTTTCCTTTGTCTCCTTCTTCTGTCTCCTTTTATATTTTCCTTTTCTATTTTTATTTATTTTTATTTGTCTCTTTTGTGTCTCCTTTATCTTCTTTTTTGTCTCCTCTGTCTCTTCTGTATTTATTATTTGTCTCCATTTGTTGCTTTTTTGTCTCCTTTTCGTCTTTATCTCTTATATTTCTTTTCCTTTTTGTTTTCTGCTGTCTCCTCTGCTGCTGCTGCTGCTGCTGCTGCTGCTGCTGCAACAACAGGATGTGCAGCAGCAGCAGCAGAAGCTGCAGCAGCAGCTAGAGGTGGAGCGGCAGCAGCTAAAAGAGCTGCGAGAGAGAGAAGCAGCAGCAAGACAAGAAGCCTTACATAGCCGGTCTGTCTCCTTTTTTATTTTTTTATTTATTTTTTTATTTTTTATTTTTTTTTCGTTTTTTTGTTTACTTTCTGTCTCTCTTTTTATCTGTCTCCTTTCTTTCTAATAGTATTATTTTTGTCTCCTTTTTTTATTTTTTTATTTTTCTCCTTTTTTCTTTTTTATGTTATATTTGTCTCCTTTTATTTGTCTTGTCTTTCTTTTTTTTATTTGTCTCTTTTTTTATTTGTCTCTTTTTTTATTTGTCTCTTTTTTATTTGTCTCTTTTTTATTTGTCTCTTTTCTTTTCTTTATTATTATATTTGTCTCCTTTTATTTACATTTATTAATTTGTCTCCTCTCTCTTCTTGCTTATAATATTATTTCTCTTTTTTTTTATTTGTTTCTTTTTCTTTTTGTCTCCTTTTTACTGTCTCTTTATTTATTTCCTTTTTCTCTCTGTTTATAATAACATTTCTCTTCTTTTTATTTATTTATTTTTAATTTATTTATTTTTATTTGTTTATTTTTTATTTATTTTTTTTATTTATTTTTTTGTGTGCATGCAGAGCTGAGGCGGAGACAGCACAGCTGCAGCTGCGGCGCCTCGATGAGGAGACAGCAGAAAAAATTAATAATTTATATCAGCAAAAGGAGACACTTGAGGGTATTATATTTTATTTTATTTTATTTTATTTTATTTTATTTTATTTTATTTTATTTTATTTTATTTTATTTTATTTTATTTTATTAGAATAAATACAATATATATTGTTTATAATATATATTATAATAAACTAAAATTAATAATTTATATCAGCAAAAGGAGACAGTTGAGGGCATGCATCTGCTGCTGCTGCTCCTGTCTTTGTCTTTCTGGCGCCACTGCTGCTGCTGCTGCTGCCGCTGCTGCTGCTGCTGCTGCTGCTGCTACTGCTGCTGCTGCTGCTGCTGCTGCTGCTGCTGGCGGGTGGAGTGAGGAGCTGCTGCAGTCTGAGGTGTATGTACACTGCAGAAGAAATAAATGAATACCGCCTGAAAGAACTAACAGCAAACGCGCAGCAAGAAAGACAAACAAAACGGCTAGCACAGCTCGAGGAAGAGTAATCTATTTTTTTTTTTATTTTTTTATTTTTTTTATTTTATTTATTTTTTTTTTGTTTGTTTTGTTTTGTTTTGTTTTGGTGGGCTTTGTTTTATCTTGTTTTATTTTTTTTATTTTAAAAAAATTTTTTTTTGTTTTTGTTTATCTTGTCTTTTTTTGTTTTTTTTTTGTTTT